GCTTATTGCTGTTGTTTTTTTCCTTCAAAAAAAAATTTAAAAATTTTGAAGTTGCGGAAAATTATAAGATTAATGGGGGTGGGAAATGCCATTTATTTTTCGACTCTACGAATTTACCCATATAATCAGTTGAAAGATTTATGTTATGACCTTGACAAGTTCAAATTTAAGGAATTTAAATTTTAACATTGTTATACCAAATTAGAGAAACTGTTAATTACAACTTAATTAGGAGCACTAAGAGCTTCCATCACTATTTCTCAAACAACTGCACTATTAAAAAAAAAAAAAAAAATTATCGCTTCATGCTGATAAGCATTGATTACTCGCAAGTGAAGGCCAAAAAATTATAACTAATAATCATTAATAAACTATGGTCATTTAAAGAAAACTTCATATTATTTAAATTAAAATTTATGTTCATAAGTAATTCTACTTACTTGAGCAATTGGTGAAAGCCTATATTGAAAATGTCCTCTTTTCAACGCATGAAGTAAGGCGGGAAATGAACGAAAAATTTCTGGTACAAAACTTTTATGGAGAAAATTTTTTCAAAGAATTAGGAGATTAGAATAGAATGCAGAGGAATAAAACAAAAATTTCAACGCAAGTTTAAATTTTCACTCTTAAATAAAATGTTATGCGGACGACTAGGTTTAATTCGAGGAGATGAAAATCAAATCAACTATTTTAAATGTTTAAGGAACAGTTCAGATGTCGCCAAATTAATAATAAAAAAAAGGGTGACGGCAGACGAGGCAGCTGTCATGATTTGAAAATCGTTTGCTTTTAGCTATGAAATAGCAATTAGGTGTTTATTATTTTTTTTAGAATTGTCTCTTATCTTTTTGAAAATCTCTCCATTTGCGTTTTTGTAAGTGGTAAAGTTAAATTTAAAAATTATCACTGATTATAATATGTATTTCAAACAACAAATTATTTTACAAACCTATAAACTCTTGAACACAATATGTATTTCAATGCAAAGTGATTCCTATTCTGTTAAAATCCATCGGCATTTCTTTCCTTAAGAAAAATCTTCTTTTTTTTTTTTTGTATTAACATAAAAATATTCAACATAATAACATATAATACATATAATATAAAACATAATAACATCAAAATGTATGCAAATAGAATAAAGCATTTTATTTAAAGTTAAAACATTACAAAAATTCTCAATTTTCGGAATTGTTCATTAAACAAAAAGAAAAGTGTTGTGTTTCTTCCTTATCAATACTATTTTTGAACTAAATAAATCTTATGCAACATTATTTGTTGGCTATGAACGTTGTGTATCATTCGAAATTATTTACATGAATCTTATAGAATGTAAATATATACATCTATTTCAAAAACAGATGGAAAAAGCATCCAAATTCTTTATTCAAATATATAACATGAAAATAAATTCATTTATGTACGGTTGGGTAATTTTTACAAGGAGTATGTTGACATTTAAGATCTTTTTTTTTTATTTTATTGATACTGTGGGCGTTGGAGAGGAGCAACGTTGTACGGAAAGAATATTTTTTAAAATCATATTAATAGGACTGACTTATCGGAATTATTTAAACTGCTGGTCACACCTGTCAATGTAATTTTTGTGACCATTTGTGATGATTTATATATTGATAATTTTAAGTGATGATAGTCGCGAAAAGCTGCTTGCAAGACTTTCAAGTGGCTGGTCTGAATAAAGTGCGTATCGTAACTTTAGTGAAACAAGTCGCGTGATTTCAATAAAACAAATTTGCTAAAAAGTAAATATGAAAACAGAATGTGACTGGTCACAAAAAACACCTTTTTACCAATAGTAAGACAAGTTGTGAAATGGCTCCCATGTGACTTTCAAAGGAACAAAGTTGCAACGACGTTTCTCCGTGAATTAAGTCCCAATAGTGTTTAGTAGTGACTACCAAGTGTCAGATGTCTCAATAAATAGTCAGTGAGACTTTTATGTGATATCATAAAATACAGTAACAATGTCACTTATGACCTCTTTGGGACAATATAAAACAGTGACACCTGTGACGGTGACTACTGTGATTGTTTTTTATTTTATTGTGACGTCACTGTGACAAATGCTATCTGAGTTGATTTATGTTATGGTTTTTAATTGGAACACGATGGTTAACTTTTCAACATTTTATTAAGGTTGCGACAAATATGTACGATATTATCGTTAGAGGTACCTATACGTATATTATAACTCAATGTTGAATCTGTTTTTTTTAGAGAGAGAAAAAACAGATAGTAAAGTTTACCATTTTGTACGTTATTTTGCCTTACTATAAAAATTTGTTGGATTTAACACGTTTTATTACTGTTGCTTTTTACATTAATGTGTAATTTAAATTGTCAATGCACTTAATTTTGGGGAAAAGAGAATTACAATCTGCATATTAACCCATTTAGAGTGAAATAATTTGTTTCTGTTTTAAATTTTATCTAAAATTAATTCCATGCAAAATAAAACAGACTTCAATCACAGAAACTACGTACCCATTTCGACAGAAACTATGAGTTCATTCAAGTTTACAGTTGCATAATTTATCTCATCTACGTAAATATTATCCTTAACTACCTTATCTCAGAGATTATTTATTTATTTTTAAATAATATTCACATGATATGGAAAGTTATCGAAATATTAAACAAGCATCTGACTGTGAAAAGGCAATTTCTATTTTAATCTTGTTTGAGAATCCTTAAAAGTTTGTAAAATGATATTTTTAAAATATCTGTCCACGTTTTAAGTTCAGGTAAAATGTCTCATTACTACCTTAGAAATCGCAAAGAAACTTGTTTCGATAAATAACTTATCTATCATCCTATGTACGCATAATCAAATAGTATAAATGTTATAGCTGGAAACTATGTACCCATTTTGATAGAAACTCCGCACTCGTTTACGATTATAGTAGCATAATTTATCTCTTCTTCTTAAATATTCTTCTTAACCTCCTTATCTCAGATTAACCTCTTAACCTCCTTATCTCAGATATTCATTTCATTGTAAGTCATGTTCTATTATTAAAATGATATGAAAGTTTATAGAAATAGGCATCAATATGAAAGTAAAATTTAAGTAAAAAGAAAGTAAAATATATGCCTACGTACTAATTTTAGATGTAATTTTTGTCGCGCTACTCCTTTTAAAATAGAAAAGTAACAACTTTGTTTTGTTAATGAACTACGGAACTTTTTCAACAAGTTCTTTAGCATTCAAAAAGTTCAGTATTTCACTATAGAGAATCCGAGTTTTATTTATCTCCATGACTGAAAGAACGGGACCGCATTTTTCAGATTGTGACTATTTTGATTTTAAGGATCAAAAACTTCAAATTAGTTGGGGGGAAAAGATAATGCGCATTTATTTGTAACATTTGCTACTTTTATTGTTATCCATATTAATAAACTAACTAATAAATTTAGATATTTAAAGTTTCTCTCTCGAACCATCAAGATCGATATTTAGTAGTTAAAAAATCAAATCAGTAAATCGAAAATTTTTAAAAATGGTTTGTTCCGTGAGTCTATTGTCCATTTTGTCAACTGTACTTACATTTTAAAACGCAAAATATTCCAATGAAATCGGATCTTCGTTTTCTTATTTTTTATTATTGGGTTGTTCGGAAAGCAATTGCGTTTTTTCCCAACTGAAGACTTAATTCAGCTTTTTAAAAGCAAATTTACACTTAGGCCATATAATCAATCATATATTTTGACAGCTGATATACCACGACTTGCTTGTGAAAAAATTAGATTTACATTCAAAGGGGATTATACGCAGTAGTTCTTAGTTGGTGCCTTTTCAAATATGGAAAGTGAAGAGCTGCATTTTTTGGCATATTTTACTTTTTTACTATCATCATCATAGTTGGCTAGACAGCCCAATGCGGGCAAATAAATACAGCTATTCACTTTCCTTCCTCTTTACCTTCCTTTGAAGATCTCTCCATTACGATTTCCGATGCATCTTCGATCTTCAGTTATTTTCATTAATTGCAAGAAAATCAGACTCCACCGAATCAGCCCATCTCAGCCTTCCCCGCTTTCTTATTCCAGTGGGTCTAAAAAGCAATATCTTTTTTATTGTATTGTCACCACTCATTCGAATCACGTGGGCTAACCAATTTATTCTATTTGTTTTTACGTATTTGCTATCAATAATGCAAAAATGCCGTTCTGGAAAGAAAAAAGAATTATACCACGTGCATAAATAAGATGTAGTGACAGTACGCCAGTGCCGAAACTGGTTTGCAAAATTTTGATCCGGCAATTTTGAAGTTGCAATCTACCACATTCTGGAAAGCTAATTGAAGCTGATGAAGACGCAATAAAGTCGTTTAATGGTGCAAACCGGCGAGTAAATAACTCGTGAGACTTCAGCGAGATTAAATTTATCGAATTCGACAGTTTATGTTCAGTTGAAATACTTATGTTTAACCTCAAAGCGCAACTTATGGGTTCCTGGTTTCCTCGATGCTCTTACGGGAAGAAATTTGTATCATCGAATTGATGTCTATAATTTGCTTTTCAAACGTCAAGAAAATGATACATTTTTTTTAATGAATCATTACTGGGAATGAAATATTCTGTCAGCAAAGAACAAATACTTTATGAGCGGGGAATCATGCTACAACCAGATATGGCAAATGAATATTATGTAATCAGAATAATATGTAACCAGAATGAATATTATGTGATTCAATAAAATATTTATTCATTAAAAGAAAATCGTCTATCATTTTCATAATTAAAAACCGAAATTACTTTCCGAGCAACCCAATACATTAAAAATTTGGTGGCGACATTAAAAATTTGGCATCCTTCTGAAAAATATTTTCAGAAGGACGGAAATTATCAGTCATGAAAATGTTGCTCAAGAACTTTAAAAGAAATCAATAAATATTTTTTTTAAAATTTTAGCTGTTAATGAAGAATGGTATTAAGTTTTAAAATGACAAATTCAAGTTTATGTTGCCTTCTTACAGGTTATATCATTCGTCATCCGATGTTTGATTCACCAAAAAAGCATCAACTGTTTGATGATACTGATTATTGGGAAGTTCCAGAAGAAGATCATCCATAGATATAGCCTATATCATATTGTATGATACTCTAAATCCGTAGTATAGCCTATTACTTACTATATTATGCCTTTACGTATTACATTAGCATCTTTTTTTTTTTTCAATATACAGGGTGCAAAGTAATTCTGGATCTCATGAAATAAATCTTGAATGTTTGGCATTTTTATGTTTATGAGCAATTATTAGATTATAATTTTAAGTTTGGATGATATTTCGTGCACATTGACGTGGGGGACAGTACGTGTAAGGCACGATTGTTTTTGACATTAATTTTAAAAGTAGAATATGGCGAAGAAAAAAAAAGTGGGGGAAAACAAAAACTAACAGTGTATCTGTAACATTTGAAGTTGGTTTGTTAGAAAAAGTGAAAACTAATTTTCTAATGTTTAAGAAGAACATTTATTGTTCTTAAAATACTGCCCTAAAACAAAAAAGTCTTACCCACCCTTTTGTGATAATGATTGTGACATCTCTCCACTTTGTAAGATGTTTTTACCTCGATTCGCTCAATTATTAAATCACTCTTAATGAAGACAAGGAATTTTTTTTTCAGATATATTATTTAATTTAAATTCCTTGATTATTGAAATAGTTACAATTACATATCAACAAGTACATAAGCTATATAACAACTCCGGAGCTGTATTGCTCCCTACTTCCTAACTGCATCCAGTCTCTCTGGTCTCCGCTTTCAATCTCTCATAAAAATACTTTTTCTCACCAAAAAAAAAGTCCTTCACTTCTCCTTAGTCCACCCACACTCTAGGGCAGGGGTGGCGAACCTTTATGCACCAACGTGCCATTTTTTCTAAAATATATTTTAATGAAGTCATAGACGTACCGACAAATAGTTTTGACTCCGTGATTATTGGGTAAATAATAATACTAAATTTAATCAACTCAAAACTCTATATTTCCTACGAAAAAAAGTTATTCTCAACTTTTGCAATGTCTCAGTTATACGCGTAATTCAACTTAAAGTAACATCAGTGTGACTTCTGTTGTTGCAGATTAGATGACAAATAACTTAGATTGGGGTTATACGATGTTAGTTTAAGCAGAACTGTTACATTTTTTTGATAGTGATTTATTGTTCGCTTGTTTTTTTGTGGTTATTAATTGCTTTTTTGGCTTTAATTGTTCTTTTTTTGTGAATTTTAATTGAATTGCTAATATGCTTCATAGTAAACTTTGTGATCGGTGGCGTGCCCAAAATATTGTGTCGCGTGCCACTGGTTCGCCATCCCTGCTCTAGGGGAACGACACTTCCCGTCACCCTCTGCTCTGACCCTCAGGTCAGAGGTAGATCAAATGCGTGAGAGAGGAATCAGTATCCTGACAATGATAAATTCCTAATTTCCAACCTCTTAATAATTGTTATTTTTCTTACACACGATATTTTCAAGATATCAATAATAACTTCTACTTCATTCATAAGGTGAATTCATAGACGGCCTCTTCGAGTAGCCAAAAGTCTTTGTATTATACCTAAACCACTTTTTAATTAAATAGAGTTTACTTTGCACTATGCAAGTCGAATAATTGTATAGTTCTTTGAATATTGAAAGTAGCATATTTATATTGGTATAACAGCATATGTATTGATACATTCATATTTCAGAGATATAAAAAAAAAGATGTATTTAAAAAATAATATTTTTTTGCTATGTATGATATGTGAATAAATCTATTGAAAAATTGGATGTTGCTGTTTTAACTTTGGAAATTCAATGATGTTTCATACCCTTCAACTATATATATATATATATAAACATAATTTTGATCTACATTAAAAAACTCTAAGCTCCGTGGTTTCCGTTGTTTTGGGTGTTCAACATTTGTTTTGCCTCGTAGAAACTATAAGGCACAGAAAATTGAAATTTCTAATATGTGTAGAAAAACGTACGGAGAGTACATTGGAATTAAAAAAAAACAACTACATTTGATTATTAGTTCAAAAATTATTAACTGTTAAACTTGCACTGAAGTATACGATGAGGGTCACTTTGCCCACAGAAATGAAACTTGATGTGCTGAAGGGCTATTTTTATTTACGAACACTAAATTGTATCGCTTAAGTCTAAGTTCATTGAAAGTTATTGCAGTTGCAAATGCTTTTTTCACAAAATGTTTCTTACTGTTTCGTTTTACGCCGCATTTTGTTTTGTTGCGCAAAAACTATAAAACTTTGAAACTTCAAATTACAGGGTGCGTCGAAAAATGTGTACGATGAAATAAAAAAACGCTCTAACGGGGATAATTTACACATATATAGCCAAATAAGAGATAACACACAAGACATGGCAAACCTTACGCTTTATTTATGTTGTGATATTAATTTTCTTAAATTTGTTTCAGGCTACAATCAGTTAGAATTTATAAATTACAGAAGACACTTATGAATGATAAAATTAAGCAAAAATTTAAACATGAATCCCATTTAGTCTCAACTATCTATTTATACATTGTTGAATAAAATTGTATCTTGCTCGATATCTTTATTTATAATTCCACGACTTACTTGATGTGATAAGTATTAACAAATGAATAAATTAAAAAAAATTAAAACTGTGATAGATTAGATGCTGTCAGTTATAAAGCTTAATATTTGTTTCGAAATCTTTAAAAATATTAAAATCTAAAGACAGGTAAAAACTATCTCCAATGTGAAATGTTAGAGGACAAAAGGTCATTTCTCATTATATATTATTAACAAGTAAAATAATTTTTTCGCATTGAGTCATACAATCTACATTCTTAATTTTTTTCTCTTGAGTACAGTCAGTTTTATCCAATTAATAATATTTCGAGATTAATTTTACTCCTCTATTAATTTTTGAGGAATGAATCGGAAATAGAAGGATGAATTTTAAAGTATAGATCACGTTTCTAAATTGCCACCATTTATAACATGCATTATATTATAACTAGCAGATGAAATACACAAAATTTAAAAGCAGAAAAATAATTGCTTGAAGACTTGGTTAAAAATAAATATTCTACATTATTTTAATTTCTTTTTTCACTTCTTGCGGACCATTTAGGTTAATATTTCTAAAAAAGCAAAATTAATAAAAACAATGAACTTTTTTTTCTATTTCATTCTATTCATTCATTTCTTATTCATTGGTGGCATGAATAAGGCCAATCGCCCCAAAGCTGCCTTCTTACATTTGATTATCGTTTTAGTATCAAATATCTTTCAAAGCTGCTGTTATTGGCAATGATAGAGTAATAGCAATTAATTTTCTAAATTCGAAATACATCATCGTCACATTTTCTACAGTTATAAACTGATTTTCTATGGGATTATCTTTATTCAACATAAGGAAAAGTAACAATTTTTAAAAAAATTACAAGGAGTATTCTTCCTCTTGTTCAAATTCTTGAGGAGAAAAATTAAAATTCGATGCATTAAATATACGCGTCTAGATGCGTAATGAAGAACTCTGATTTGAGTTGATTATTTTTCAAATCAAGGTATCCGTTCATTTCGTTACAATTAACTCATTAATGAAAGATGCTCACATAAAATTATAAAAATTCTACATTGAGTAAACTTAATGATCTTTTCTTATCGACTTTTAATAAATGAAACAATGGTTTAATGAATAAAAGCAAAAAAGAAAAATCACAAGCAAAGTGAGAAGAACAGTTTGATAGTAATATTAAAAAGTTAAGCTGTAATTTATGTTCAAAGGAAATGTAGGAAATGCCCATATGTGAAAAATATTTATTTTAAACCTCTTTAATATTAAAAAGTTAGTTAAAAAGTTTATTAGAAAATAACTATATATCTATCAATAAATATACATATATAGACATTTTTTTAAAAATGGTTTATAGTAAAAAACATGCTAAATTAAAGACATACTTGACATTGAAAACGAAGTATACGTATCTATATTAAAGACATATAAATACATAATTTTTTTTCCTTTATAAAAAACAATTTAATTATATTTATTTTAAAAAGTAAGCGTCAATTTGTTAGAAAATATTCACATATGTCAGGAAATAGTATTTATATATATACTAATAAAAATTTTTTTTTAAATGCTCTTAAAAAATAATTTTAATAATTTTTCTTCGTCTTTTCTTGTACCTTATATAATATATATATATACATCTTTAAGAACTCAGGGTGGAGCTAATTGTATCGTTGAATCCTTATCTAGAAATCCTGAATATTTCACCAATCAAATTCACATCTCTGAATTCGCCTCCGAGTTTCTTTTCATGCAACAAGAACGGTCTCTAAAACGAATCTCACTTGCGCCATCTATGTAAATATTCTATGGGAGTGTTAGTAGTCAGTTTCAAAAGCACCTTTTTTTATGCATGAATTTGATTATAGCTGATTTTAATTATTAACTTGAAGAGCATTTTAAATTTAAATAGAAATTTTGAATCAGAAATAGAAATGGAAATACGTAATGAACGACGCAAAGAACGACATAAAATAAATTTTAAGATGCTTCGTGCTGCCATCTGTATTTAAGTTTGACTTTTAAAAGTAAAAGCAATAATTTAACTATTATAAAAATTAAGAGAATTAGTAATAAAAAGGAAATATATGGTATTTTTAGGGTATTTTAACTTAATCAAATTTCCAAAAACCTATTCAAGAAATAATTCACAAAAACTTGGTAGATATACGTGGAGAAAATATTTTGATATTTCCTAAAAGTTAAACGCATGACGATTATTAGTTTCGAAATGCAATTAAAAGAAATTTGATTGTCTTAATGGGAAAAAAAATTGCAGCTTTTTATCTCTTGTAGAATATTATTATAATCATTTGTTTTCTTTATTTCCCTTTTTCGTAAAAAAAAAGTTTTGCTTTCTCGGAAAGTGCGCACTGTATTTTTTTATACTCTCTGGTGAATTATTTGATTTTTGAGGATAAAAAAAAACTTTTATTTGCATTTATCAGATTGAAATAACTGTAGATTTTGTATTATTTATTGCCTACAACAAGTAAATCTTTATATTTTTATTAAATCAAGAATATAAAAATAGTAAAAAAAAAATACGCATATTTATTTCGACAAATTTTTTAAACTAATTATTTATAAATTGTTCACTTCCTGAATTTTAGAATTTTATTTTATTCTGTTACTAATATCAAAAGCCAAACGAAAGGAAATTATGTCGTTTTGCAGTAATTTCATCTCGTCTGCTATATCGATTAGTGATGTGCAGAATGCGTCACAGTTCTTGTAAGTATTTTAGCTGAAACTGGCAACTCAGTGAGAAATCCCAAATTTCTGGGTGTCACTTCGTCTGATGTTGGTGTGAGAGTGTCTCTAAGGATTTACTATTTTTGTGTAGTAATCAATGAATTAGTTACAATCAAACACAAGGAATAGATAAAACAACACACCGGCTTATCATTTATAGCATTTCATTCATCAATTTTTCATAGTTTTGGAAGATAAGTAGTACTGTAAGATCGCTTTACGGCGCTACATGCATGTGTATGTTAAATCAGTAGGAATAACAAAGTCTTAAAGTATCGCGATTATTTTCATAAGCTAAATATTAGTGCTTTTACTTGAAGAAAATTGATTACTGACAGACATGAGGCTGATAATTTTGAACTTATTTACTATTTTATTGGCATGTGTTATGGCTACATCCTCCAGGGAAGAGGTAAGATTTAAATTTATTCTATCATATTTTAAAATTGAAGTATTTTTATTTGACGATTCAATTTTACTGAATTTATGTCGTGAGATTTTTACATTTTGAAGTAGTTTCAGTCATTGCTTATGATTAAATTTATCTTTACTTTAAAAATAAAAATCTGGATTAAAATAATTCGAAACTTTTCGTGGAATGCTTAACTTGTTTACATTCATCGAAATAAAAATATTAAGTGGTGATTATTTAAAAATTATCTTTTCTTCGTTAGATATATTATTGAAACATTGTTGTTACATTTATCGATCAGGTGAAACTAAGTTATTCTTTTATTTGCATGTTCGAAAAAATAAATAGTCGAAAGATAAATAGTATTTGAATCTTTCGAAAGTATATTATTTTACACTTAATACTTTATGTAATAAAATGTAAAAAGGATTAATATGTCTTTTACGGGGTTTAAAAGTTAAATATTCATATTTCAAGTAGTTTTTCTAGGTATTATTTTCCTACTAAGTCATTAAATAATTATTTTTAATTGTTAACAATATAATAGATGTCTATTTTGAAAAAGATAGTTTATTGTCAACTTAATGCTCTGTTGAATTTGACTTTTGTATCCAAAATTTGTTTATTTATATATGCTAGAGAACATTTATTGACCTATGAGCCAGTTTAGATACTGAGTTCAAACATATTCAAATTTTAAGTTGGCTAAACAAGTTGATGTTTATGGCATGTTCTATATGTATTGTGATCTGGCACTTCAAATGGATTTTAAACTTGCAATTTAAAAAAAAAAATAGAGAGAGTTTTGCTTTGGGGTTGGCTACGAGCTATCCCTTCTAATTGGTTCACTTCTGTGTTTTTTTGCTTCGTTACTTTCTGGCGAACTGCTGCTAGGAAGTTGCCGAAACTGGGTGATTACTCTGTCTCAGATCACAGTATAGAAATCTTCCTGTTTACCATCAATGGCTATGATGTATGATCCACTCATAGTGAAATTCTGTTAAATCCTCTATAAAATTGAGAAATGCTTTTCATTACCTTCTGAATAGCAGTTTTGAGTTCATTTATGGTTTTGGGATTATTGATAAGCTTTGTCTTCAAAATTGTTTTACTGAAATCAGTGTCAATGGTGATCTATATATGTTGAGGCTTGGTGAGTGATATACACATAAAAATAAAACTAAACTCAGCGGCTTGACAGCCCTTGCGGGCCAAGGCCTACTGTGCCCATCTCAGTTTTCTTGACCTTGGCCTCTGAGGTGCAGGAGCAGATGTTCCGATCAGGTGGTCAGCCGAACGCGGAACCCCCAATGTTAGTTCCCAAGCGTGCTAGGTACTCATTTATCGACCCACTGACGAGATGAAAGGCTGAGTCAGCCGTACCCAGACCGAGGATCGAACCAGGGACCAGTGGCACGAAGCGCTACCGCTCAGCCACCGGGCGTCACACATAAAAATACTGTACTAAGTAAACAACAAAAAATAAGTGCGCATGCTCAAAAGAATCCCTTCATGCCATGCATTAGATTGCCAACTTAAACTAAATGTCGCCAGCTGTTAGAACTACTTTTTGTATGGCTCAATAATTAATAACCTCGTCTTAGCTATTAATTATAACCAAGAAGATTTCAGTACCTGCGCCAAAATGTTTTCTAAGTTTTGGGTGACTTCTGGGCTGTGGCCCAACAGTAAAAAAAGAAAAAAAAGTTTGTAAATAGCTACTGATAATAATAAAAGGTATTGTTGAGTTAGATTTTTTTTCTTTGCTTAGCTTAATATGGAAATTATTATGGGTAGTATTTTAAATTAATTCAATAATATTGGAAATTACAATTAATGCAAATAAGTTATTATTCTTTTCTGACAATTATTGTAGGGGAGTTTCACTATTACTCAAATATTCAGAAGTGAGAAACAGTTTAGAAATTCCCTGGGTTGGTTTATTCATATATCATGATAAATAATATACATTTGTGTATAGTATGCATATATCCTTAATAGTAATTCATTCTTTCACTTTCGATAGATGTATGAAAGAAATATTGAAGGCTTCAAATTCGTTGCATTGAATTAGTTATTTAAAGTAAATTGATGATTTTTTAAACAACTTATTACATTAGTTTTTAAATGATCTGTGGGGTAGTTGTGCTGATAAAAAGATCAGAATTTAAAAAGAATCATTATTTATCAGAATTTTAAAAAAAAGAATTATTTATCAGAATTAAAAAAAAAAAATGTATGTTACTCAGATAAAAAGCAAACTAAAAATTTGTTTTGTAAACACTATTGGCAGGAAATCTAGTGATTTTTTGTTACTCATACAGATACTGCTTAGCTTACTGATCTTCGTTGATTTGCATTGATCAATGAACATAGAATTTTACTTTTTCAGTGGAGAACGTTACATTTGCACTCATCAAATTCTTATCAATTGAATACTGTAAAATAAAGGATATTGTATGTGTCCTATATTTTGATATTCATATAAATACATTTGAATCTCTAATCCAGTTGGTAAAAAAAAGCAAAAAACAGTCAACTATATTGTAGTAGAAAGATGCCAACAAGTTAGGGAGGCAAATTTATCTAAAGTTCTCTTAAATTTTTGTATTTTGACCTCCTTTAAAAAGTAAAAATGTAAAACCATGGGTAGTCAAACTGCTATCTATTCTCACAATGAGAAAATTCTAGAGATAAGAATGTTGAAGGATTTGAGTGATTGATTCCATTCTTCTTTCTTTTCTACTATACAACCTTGGATGATACCATAGGCATTAGTCATATTTTTATGTATTGCTACCCTGAGAAAATTCTTAAGATAATGAAAAGGGATTTTTCTTTTATTTCCAGTACTGTAGCAATAGATTTGAGTGATTGATTACATTCTCCTCTTTTACCTACTAGGTATACAACCTCTATGGGTACCATATAGGGTTGTAATAATAGTCCTCAAAGGTTGATGCTTATTCCTACTTCACAAAGAAATAAGCTTAAAAATCAGGTTTCAAAAATGAGAGATGTTAGACAAAGTTTTAAATAGTATCGAAATTAAAAGATAATTTTATAAAATTTTTGACCACATGCAGTTGTAACATTCAAACACTTGTTTTAATTTTGTTAGTGTTTTCAGCTCTAGTCTAGTCTCGTATAGACTGTTTTTCTGATCTTTTAATAAGACATTGTGTAGAGATAAAGATTTAGCATTAAGTGATTTCAATCTTTATTAATCCTCATGGAAAAAAAAAAAGAGTTCTGAAAAGTGTATCTATAATACATCTTAACTCATTGAAAAAGTAGAGAGGAACAACATAAACGTTTCACCGTTGTATTAAGTATTCCTTAAAACAAATTTTTTATCATTTTGAAGGAAAAATGGAAAAAAACTTTTTTACCATGTTTTTTATATTAAAATAAAATATTTTACTCTGTTTTCAATTGGTCATATTTTTGATATATCAGACTATAATGACGTTTGCTTCCAGTTATTAAAAAATCTCTTACAATATTTCAAAACCCTCGAGAATATTTTTTTCTGTTTTCATATAATATGCATATATTAAACGATATTCTTATTTATGTGATGATGAATCCCAAAACATAATGAAATTATTTTTAGGCTTTCTGGTTCTTAAATGGTTACAATCAAGTGACTGGATTCAATTCTCACAAGCAGTATAAAATAGAGAAAGTAAATATTTAAAAAAAAAAAAAAAAAAAGAACTATAGATATTCATAGGATTGATAAGTTTTTCCAGAATTTATAAAGATATTCAGTATGATTGATTGATAGTTAAGTTAGGATAAGTTTCAAAGTAGTTATTTTCTATCATAATCATTAAATATAGTAATTTTAATTACAAATTCTGGTGAATTTAGAATAATAATAAATATTGGTAATTAATACTTTCAATTGTATTTTATTACTATTTTAAAATTAAATTTTTAAAAAAATAGTTTGTAGAAGAAAGTATAAACTTAAATTCTTTATTGACAAATCAAAAGACAAAAAAAAGGTTAAATATGGCGAATTGCATCTATAATTTAACTTTTCCTTCATTAAGTTCGTGACACATTACGCCTAAGTAAGGTAATTGTTTTAATGATAGTGTTATTTTTCTTAGCAAATTTTTATTTCTCTCTTTAAATTTTATTAAAATTGTATACCTAAAAGAAGAAAAATTAGTGGCTTCTCTCTTTTCGTTCATTATTTACTCTTTTTACAACTGAAATCGTTCCTAATTAACGTCTAAAATCGTTTTCTGAAGAATATATAATTGAAAAAAAATTTTTTGTTGCTTTTTATAAAATTTCTTTGTTTTCAATCATTCTTTTATTTGTTTTATTCACCTTTAATACTTTTCATTTCATCTTCACATATCGTAATAGACGTCGATAATTCTCCTAATATATATTGTTTTCACTTCATTAATGGCAATGGTTTTAAAAGATGTATTTAAAGTTGTGTTTCTCGTCGTACTGAGAGTAGAGACTATCATTTGTTGGCTGTGATTATAGAGCATTATGAGTAAAAGGTTTTATAAAAACAATGTTATCTTAAAATAATTGTTATGAGGACATTATCGACCTTTTTATTTTTTACCTTAACTTAAAGAGAATATGTACAGGTATTTCTAAATCTCTGGTACAAATAGCCCAGAAATATGCGTAAACCTATTTTATAACTTTCACAGTTTGATATTACTTACGGGAGCGTTATTTATTACGTGCGTTTATTTTTTGAAAGTCAGATAATGTTTTTTTTAGTTGTTTTAAGTTTTTAAAGTTAAATCAGATAATGTTTTTTTTTTTTTTTATATGAACCGATATGTTTTTAAAATGTTGAGTTTGCCAAGTTTTAGTCAGTTTTATCTAATAACGAAAAAGTTGAATGGGACTGGGAACTTAGTTTGCTGAGATTTGTGCCAGCCAGAGAATCGCACTTTTACCAGTACATTAACTGCGTAATCAACATAAAATTTCTAAAAGATACACATTAAATG